GCCAAATCTGCTTGCTGAAAACAGTAACAAATCTTCATTGTGTTTAAAGTAGGGGAAAAAAAAAAAAAAAAAAAAAAAAACGCTCTCACGAACTATTTTTTATAATTTTTTTCTAATATTTTTTAATTGATTAAAGGTAAATATCATTATATATTAATTAATTACTTTTTTAATTTAATTCTTTACATGATTTGTTTTCATGTTCCGTTAACATTTTTACAATTTTTAAGTACTTTAAAACAATTTTCGAAATTAAACGTACTAATGTCTTCTTCACTATATTTGGCTTTAGAGTGGAGTCCAGGGCCGGATTTACGTATAAGCTACACAAGCTATAGGTTAGGGTCCCCCCTTTCTTAGGGACCCCCCAAAAATAAAATACAGTACAAAAAGTATTAAAATATACTATTATAACAGACTTATAAAGGACCCATACCTCAAATAGCTTAGGGCCTTATCAAGTCTAAATCTCGCTCTGGTGGAGTCCACTGAATTTCTGTTAATTCCATCTGCAAATGGACTGACAATTTGCCAATATCGGCTGAAAATGTGTTTGTAAGTAGATCCTCCCAAGAATCTTTTTTTTTTTTACCTCACGGATATGCACCGCGAAATTCGGGGAAATTCCATTTTTTTAATGCGTTACAATTAAATATTTGTTATTAAAAAACTTGGGATGAACGTCGGGCCGCGAGTTTGACATATGTGAGAAAAGCTGTTTAGTCTGGTACGTATTACCGAAAATGAAAATCATGGGGAACGCAAAATTTTAATGCATACTTTTATTTCGCAGAGTCACAGATGTACTTTTTCTTATCTTTAAATTCCGAAATATTTATAAATATTATACATTACTTCCTCATTATTTAATCGAATCTTTTAACAGACTTTTTATTCCATTTCTCATGAACGAAACAATGAAGAAATATTTAACTGAGGATACTTAAATTAAATACGAACAGAAGGGAAAATGTAATGAAAAACCTAAGTTTATGGTTATTGTTTATTATACTCGTATATATCTAAATCATTTATTTTTCAATATACGCATATACATTAAAATTCCAAATAGGATTAACTACCTGGAACTTCAGCTCATTCGTTTATTCAAAAAAAATTTGGATAACTGAAAGAATTTTTTCATTGGGGAGAAATAAGGGCAAAATGTTTTGATTAGGGCGCATTTAAAGAAACGCAAAGTTTGAAATTTTATTTTTTTTTTCACTTATCCAATTTATTTCGATAAAAATTATGAGATTAAAAATTGAAATGTTTTTATTTCTATAAAATAAAATACGAAACATATTGTCACATGCGTACGGGTTCGTAATGTATTGAATGACTACAAAACCAATGAGAGCTTGTAAAATTCATTTTCCCTGAAGAAACATTACAGTTCTGGAACTTTTCACAAAAGCACTTGTATACAGCTCTTCTCAGCATGACAGAGCACAAGCAGTAATTACACTTCAAACTACTAAGAATGTTAAACACCAGGCAATACAGTGCTCTGAATAATCTGAACTAAACTCTGGACTCGTATCTGAACAAAGTATTTTTGGATTGGATCTTTTCAATCCATTCAAAATCATAAAAATGTTTGATTCTCGGGAAAAGACAAGCATACGTTCGAAAGTTTAAGGCTTATTAAAATAAAATTTTCCAGATAAAAAAAAATGGGTTGCTGAAATGGTGGTTCAGTAGCATAGCAGAAGTGCCAGAGCCCTTTGGTTTAGGTCTCCGATGCGTTCTGGCTAGAACTGCGACTTATCTCAAAAACTAAAACGTATTGGAGACAGGATGCGCTCTGGCTCAATTTACACTTTATATAAATTAGTACTTTCGGGGCCAGTCATTTACGTAAAAAGTAGAGGACTGAGATTTGATTTACTTATTTTTAAGTGGTAAGATGGATTGTAAATGTTTTTATTTTCTATGTTACAAATGTCTAATTTAGCATTTTGGAGATGCCAGTGCCTTTTATTTTCTTTCATGGTCAATTTTTGTCTTACTATTTGACAAAATGGCTTTTTAATTTGCTCTCTTACCTAGGACGCTAGCGTCCTAACAAGCTTCATCAATTCTTAGTTAGTTGTGTTTTGAGTAACCAATTGCCAACATTTCGATGAGATTGTGAACATTAGAAACTAACTAATAACAAACTCTTTAACAAACACACTAACTAATAATTTGCAGCAGCAGTTCTTAAACATTTCGAGGATTCTTTTCATACTATGTCCTTTACACTGAACCCGTAATCACCCGTATTAAGTGGCACTGTATTTTTTGTACAGCCTTTCTAATGAAATTGAATAACGACTCAAACTGCAGTTTTAAAAATCATATTCGGACTTTGATCACAACTTCAGTATCCCTAGTCTAGGGTAAAGTGTTTATTTATTTATTTTTAATTATTCTGCATAACTATACTAAGTTTTACTGTTTGTTATTTTTGCGATCCCAATTAGAGATAACAGATGGCTGAGAAAATTTTCTTTAGTCGTATCAAATTTACAAATTACGTATTTCTAGCACTCTCAACCTTCTAGTTATATAAAGGTATTCCCATTATTCGGATGTACAAACAGGCAGTATAATTGTCGGAGCAAATATTTTACCTTCTTTGAGTTAGCATCTACTTATCCTGGAATTTGCTCTTAGGCCCTTTATCGCCATTGCCAGCCCTTCCATTTGCCCACCCAGCTCGTATTGCCATCACAACCGTATAATATATTCTCCACACCATTTCAGGCTGTAGTTCAAGTTAGCTTTCATTCTCGCGTTCAGTCAGATTTCTTCGCGAGCATTTGAAAGCTAATTTAGATCAGACAACCTGTGTTTAAAAATATAATTCTGGAAGTAGAATTTATTTTTAATTTAATTTAAAAAAAATACAGCTTGGCTTAAAGTTATATTTGAATAACTAATAATATTATTAGTCTTTCCAATATTAATTAAACGCATATTTAATGTATAGAAACATGCTCAGCAAAGACGAAGTATGTAAATTTATTATTCTGTAAAAGTTATTAATTTATTCAGCAATTTTGTGTTCAAAAATAAAAACCTTTGGTAGTTTTCTATTTCATAATATTCATTGACGGCTTTTATGCATGGTGCTGCCAAACCCAATGTTTCATTTTATAGATCAATTTATAAATGTTCTTACGTAATCAAAAGAATAAAGTTTTAGATTCTTAGTTTTGAATACTTAATCTCTAGGTTTGAAACCCCCTGTATATAATATGTTATTTTTCCCTCCTAATATTTATAAAATACATATCTGTCGAGTATTGTAGGCTAACCTGAGTATTGTATAAATAATATATTCACGAAAATTAATGAACTAACGTAATAATTCAACACAGTAATTACTATTTTAAGAATTAAAAAAGTAAATACTACACATTTTTGTCTTTTACGTTATTTAAATCAGCGAAAAATTGAAACCACATAAGTAAATTAGCAACCTATTACCTTTTCACTCACCATCTGAATAATAGATGGCAGCACATTCAATTTCAAAGTTTTTTTTTTTTTACCATATTAAGTTGCTGATATGACATATTTTACTCTCATTACCTTTACCAAATACCACTATGATATACTTAAGAATTTTACTTAAAGCTTGCGCTTAGCTTTCTGTCGCCCAGTGCAATCTCTGGACTTTTTCTAAATTCCTTCCCCCGGTGCCGCCCGTGCATTACCTCTGAATTAGAAAAAAAATGGAACTTTAAATGAAACAAAGTATGGAGCTCAAAATTGTTATTAAATATGTATTTATAAAAGAAAAATTGTCGTTAAATCGTCAGTATTAGTTGAATTTAGCTATTAAGTACAAAAAAATTTCATTTGACTAGAAACAAAATTTCGCAATGGATTACCCACTGGACGAAAGTGCACACGACAAAAGCCCACAAAAAAAGCCCACTGTGATAATTGCCCAAGCGACAAATACCCACAGCGATGAAAGCCCACATTGATAAAAGCCCACCCTGATTAAAAGCACACATTGATAAAAGCCCACTTAATCAAAAGGGACTTATGGTTTTTTATTACTATAAAATGAGGCTTACACTAGGGCAAATATGCACTAGGGCTTCTGCCTAAAGCAAGGAATGCCGTCTTGGAGAATGAAAGAGAACTGGCTCATATATTTATTTTTACACATTTGGGGAAACCTGAAAAACGTCTAGACAGCTGACTCATTTGTAAAGATTAATATAGCTCCCAATTCATTAAAAAAAATAATTAAAAGCGATTTGAAAGAAACTTTTGCGACCTTCTACAAGAAACAGGAAGGGGCATTGCCGTCTGTCGACAATCATAAGATCTGTAATTTACATTTGATATTGTTAAAGTGAGCTCATCAAGTATATGAAAGTTAATAATTTAAAAACTCATTTAAAATTTATCTGTACTTCTTAAAAACATTTTATTACAAATGTTATTTCAAAAGTGTTATAAATAAAATTCGTTTTAAATAGCCTATAATAAATCGATTGCAAAACTTATAATTGTGCATAAAAATATAAAATTTAATGATTGTGACCAATTTTGAAATTTCTTTTATTTTTTCTGCTTCTTCCCCGTTTTTTTATATATATTATTATTATTATTTGTTTTAAACAAACGGTAATACATTCTTTGGACATTTTGAATTTTTTTTCCTGTGTGTGTGTGTGTATGGAAAATGAAATGCACAAACAAGCACTAGAGCTTTATTTTAAATAAAATTTATATTTTATTGAGATGAATTTTATTTTATTTTAATAGTAAAGAGTTAACTTTATGAGTTGTCGACAACAACTACTGTTTTCATTTAAGAAGATAAGTGAAATATTTATATGATTTCTTGTCTTTCTTAATTAAAAATATTAAAGATAAGCTCTTTTTTGAGGTGTTAGAAGTCACATTGTAATCTGAAGATTTCAGATTGCAAGTTAATTTGCTTTCTTCCTACTAGTACAATATCAAGTCAATTTGAATTTCTGTTTCAGGCTTCTACTGGATGTGACATGGAGGTAGGATGTGTAAACAATGGTGTTGGGCAATATCATTGTGGTCCTTATCACATTTCCTACGAATATTGGGTGGATGGTGGAAAACCCGGTGAAGATCCCGATAATCCATTAGGTAAAATCATTCTTTTCCTGTCACAAATAAAAATTTAACTCAGAAACGTGGATATTATAATAATTATTATTTCTTAGTTACTTCAATATATCTAAAAATGTAATTTCATTAGGATTTTTGAGAAACTGTAAGTAATTTCTGGAACTCACAGGGTAGACTTTCATAATAGGTTACGGTGTTGGCTTCATCTACCGATGAAATTTGCGATGCTTTTGTGGTTTTTTGCCCAGTGTTAGACAAAACAACTCTGCGTTTTGTGAAGGTTAAACATATTCACATATCCGAGCCTGCAGTTGGACAGTAACGGCCTTCAGTATAAGAAAACAGAGAGTAAAAGTATCTGTGTTTTGTTGTGGCAGATGATGAAGAGATATCTATGGTTATACAGCAGTAATGATAGTACAATTTGTAGAGAACAGCCATAGCTACTTGTTGTCGACACGGTTATAACTGTTACGCCGGTTAGAATTTTGAGCCAACATTGGTTTGAAACAGAGAGTGGAAGTGTGTGTACCTGTGTTTTGTCTTGGCAAATGAGGAAGACATATCTATGGTTATAGGGCAGTATGGATAGTGAATTTGGTAGAGAACAGCTGTAGCTACTTGTTGTCGACATTTAAACTGTTGCGCCGCTTAGAGTTTTGAGCCAACATTGATTTAAATTTAATTATGTAGTCTTTGACTACTAGCGTACATTTTAATTTGAAAGTGACAGTTATTTTAGTTGCATAGTCACAAGGGGTGGTTGATTTCTGTGAATACGAGAAAAGCATTTATGTTCTAAGTTCTGTTAAAAAAAAGTTTGTTTTAAACCTTTCGGACACATCGATAAGTCGCTTTACATCTGTTAGGAGTTTGAAACTAGTTTAGGCTCAAACTTTTCCAAAATTTGAACACAATGATCAGCACAAGGTAGTATTGGTTTTCAGAGGTTTACCTTATAAACAAATTCAGCATATCTTCGCAGAGTCTTCAGAATGATTTGTGGATTTTACATCTTGCTTTATCCAATGTCTCTAAAGCATCAGCTAGAAACTAAGTGAATGTGACAGGTAACAAAATGCAAGCTTGTAATCACCAAGACTGTAAGCACCTGACCGAAGTTGCAGTAGGATTTAGAAATCATCAGTTTCCTTTGTGTTTCAGACAAGAAATTTTGTAAAAGTTCTACGTTGAAGCTGTTCAATAAACTATTTCTTATTTAGATGGGGAGTTAACTGTTGGTAACTGTTCCAAGGTAGCTTAGGCGGAACAAATAGGCAAGAACAGCAAGAGTGAGACTCAGTACAAGCCTGAGCGAATATTCTACTTCTTTTCTAATAGACCTTGCTAATGTTCAAATCAGTACCTATATTACCATCATTCCCTTAACAAATTATTATAGCCACACTTTTTACATATTAAACTACTATTTAAGCTTGGAAGATTATACTGCTAAGTGTTAGTGACGTATAACTATACCAGCTATACAATAAACACATTTTCATTCAAAGTTTCGCATACCATTTCAATACGCGCCTTCAAGAAAGTGTTTGCGCTTAGAAAACCTTAACTTCGAGGAGTCTGACTTTATCATATATAAAGCAGGAGCATATACATATAATTTTTTGTCAAACTATGTTTTCATTTAATTTATGTTGTCCAGTTTTTTCATCATATAATTTATTTACAGATTTTGAACAATGCTTGAATAAGAAGCCCTGCGCGGAAGCTTCTATCAGAGGATACGTGCAGAAATGGTCTCAGGACTGCAACGGAGATCAACAAATTGATTGTTACGACTGGGGCCTTATACATAAAGCTGGTCCATATGGCTGCAATGGGACGTGGGTCCAGAAAACAGAATTTTGGTCGAGATTCAGGGCTTGTTACGATAAAGTATATGAATTTTATGACAAAGCATCCCTCGCTTAAATAAATAGGTAATTTTTTAAAGTCCGGCTGTGATTCTTTCTTTATTGTATTTAATATCACTAAACAGAGAGTTTCAATAATATTGCATCATTGAATACTTTTCGAATAGTTGCTGATGGGTTGATCGAATAGATGTTTTCCAGCTTAAAAATCTATCCAATAAAGTAGATTTTTCCCATTATAAAAGTTTTAGTTATATGGCCTTTTGCAAGAAATATATATATCACCTACACTTTCAAATTGGCTCTCTAGAACAGTTCCAGTTAGTTTATCTTCATTTTACTAAATGTCTTTAAATTTCCAAATGTTTATTTTTACTTTTAGCTTCGGTTTTGAGATATAGGTTACATTAAACAATACGGGCATTGCCTTGTATAAATCGTAGCTTTGAATATACACCACAACTCTCTCTTTCTTCGTAAAAATCCTTGATATTTTCAAATCAAAACATACTTAATTCTCAATTCCTACTTGGAACCTTTCTCGAATGCATATCCCAAGCCGTTTGAGCAATACGCAAGTAGCTTCAACTGTAAATCCAGAACGATTATTATCACAATAAAAATAAATAAATAAATAACTATCTAGGAGGGGAATTAAAAGTTTCTGCGAAAGCTTTTATTCCTCTCCTTGACCTTATTACCACTGAAATAACAGTATTATAATCAACCGTGATAAAGCATTTCTATTGTTAAAATATATTTTATTAAGATCAATGTATTTCCAGCAGAATAAGAGAAAGTCTCTAAGTTTATTCTCTACAGTAAACTGCTGATTCTTTCTCGGGCAATAATATCCTTTTTCTGGTATAAATATATTTCCTAATGTAACTATTTTTCATTTTCAAGACGCTGAAGATTCTTGCATATCTGCTATTTAGCTACGCTTCCTGTACATCAAGTAAAACTTCCTTCCTAATATTCACAAAAAGATCTTCTGAGGAAACCGCTTTGAAAACCACATGTGAATATGGTCTTTTTTCTTCGAGCTACTAGTCATTTGACTGGGCTATATGGCCTGTTACTCATGTGATCTGAAGATCTTCGTATTTTGCTAGCTTTTAGAATCTCGCTTTTGTATACATAAAGAATAACGTGATTCTACTTCCTAGACACAGTCTTCAGAGTAGAAAAAAGTTAGTAGTTTCAACTGACTGCCCTTCCTGACAATCAAGTTTTCCGTTGATAGCCCAACAGCAAGTATTTCAACTGCAAAGACAGAATTAACTAACGGCAGAAGGGGTACAATCTTTCTCCGCTTGAGATATCTATCGTAGCAGTTGCTTCTTGATTATCATCCTTCGATGCATCTGTAGATAATGCAGCAAGATTATACATTTTTTCCTATTAAAAAAAAGGGCTCCAATAATATATTTGCCAGCGTATTGAATTTCTGAGTCTTATCCTGTAAGGAAACACTTCGGAAAAGAACTAAGTTGAAAAGGCAAAATGCGTGTAATCATTTTCAAATTACTAACATTTTTCGACATCAACTATGCATAATAAACTGATCGAAAGTTGCACTGAACTTGAACGAACAAAAATTCCTTTATGCTGACCATTCATCTGCAGAGGTAGGATGTATCTCATCATTTATCATATGTACAAAGCAGGGGAAAAACCTTAACAATAAAAAAATATCCTTTCAGACTTTCGGTCCTTAAAGTAGAAGAATAGTCTTCCTTCTGTTTCTAAAACTAATGTTGGAGTACATTTTGATAGTACTGGAACAGATCTGTTAATCACACTACATAAAACTTTTATCTTATTCATAGAATTAATGACATGAACAAAACAGCAGAAAGTTCGAGCTCACACTAGCGATATACAGTTGCTCACAAAAGTGTTCGTACACTTACGAGTTTCAGTGAAATATTGTTTTATTCATTAATAAAAATTTATACTTGAGAATGAGAATTTTTTAATAATATCTATAAATTTCTCATAGCAAAAATACATTAGTTATTTTATGAATATTGTAAAACTTTTTTTTTTTTTTTTTTTGGAAAAAATCAATAGTAAAAAAAGTACTAAAAAAGTTACCCCATGAAAGTCTTCGCACACTTTTAAAGAAGTTTGCATATCTTAGTAAATACTGTAGTATTTCTGTTAGTATATTGTAGGATATCCTGCAGTACTTATGACAGCTTTCAAATGTCTCGGCATAGATTTGACCAGTTTTTTTTTTTTTAATTTTTATTTTAATATCTGCATCAATGTGCCCCATTCTTCCACCATTCCTGTTTTTAGTTCGGTTTACGTGTTTTCGTACTCTCTCCAAATGCGTTCTATCGGGTTTTAACCTAGTAAATGAGGTGGTGTTTTTAGAACTTGAGGATGATTATAGACACAGCAAAAGCGAACATTGAGGGCCATGTGCTTAGGACCGTTATCCTCGTAAAAATAAAGCATTTTCAAATACAAAAATATTGGGAGGATCATTTTAAATTATCTTTTAAAATATTTAAATAAAGAGCATGACTAAATTACCTACTCCTGATGCTGACATGCATCTCCCCGCAGAAGGACACCTCCACCGCCTTGCTTTACTGTACCAACGTACTTATTTACACGTCTTGGGATAAGTTCCTTATTTTTTCTTCTGCATAAAATTATATGCCCATCGGAAACAAAAATTCTAAATGTGCTTTCTGTAAGTAAGACATGGTTCGAATACGCTTCTGGCTTATTTACCATTCATTTTGCGGAGGAAAGAATAAACTTTCTACTATTTTTTGAACTTAAAGAACATTTCTTCAAGCAAAACGTCTATGTAATCCAGCTGATCTGAGTACTCGTCGAACAGTTTCAGGTGAAATTTAATTAGAAAATGTTTCAGTAAACTCGGCATAAATCTTTACTGCACCCAGAAGTGGATTTTTCACAAATTTTATAACTATAAATCTTTGATTACGTTGAATTAAATTTGTCAGACGACGTCTTTTTACTTCATTTTTTCGGTCCGATTTTCTTCTTTAGAGCGTTTTATCGCATGCGGTATTGTAGAATAGAATAAATTTACTAATTTAGAGATATTCTGGATCTATTTTCCACCATTCTGATGAAAAATTATCAATTTTCAAGTCATAATTGTTGTTTTCTAGTTACTACGCCAAATTTTTAAATAGTAATTAAATTATAAGGAAGTAAGCAAGCAAAGAATAAATCCAAATGAATTTTCAAACGTCATCAAAAGGAAAAAAAATGGTGTCAGACAATGATTTTATTTATGAAATTTTACGAAAATATTTCAGTGTACGACCTCTTTTGTGGCGTGTTTTATCTGGCGTGTGACTCCTTACATTTCTAATTTTAAATAAAGAAAATAGGTCAGTATTAAAAAAGAAAAGTTTGGATTTGTTCAAAATCACATGAGGATGACACGAAAAAATATTGGGCTTTACATTCCAATTCAATTCCAGGCTACACTGCTTTTTCTACAAACTCTTTAAGTGTCCGAATACTTTTGGGAGCCACTATATATATTAACAACGTACAATATCGTTGCGGACTACTTACTTATGGAAGACCATTGCTTTTAAAACATTTAATAGTTAAACTCTTTCCCCTTAATACAAAGAGATTTATTTACACGTTTTATGAACCATTTTGATAAAGAATTATAAAAAAGTAAATGTTTTGGAATCAAAATTTCTGGCAACAGTTTATTATTTGAAATGAGAAATATCGTCTGCTTCTCTAAGTATTCTTTCTTCAAAACGTCGCATGTAAACAAGCTGTGGATTCAAGAATATGTTTTAGAGCTTTCTGAAGAGAAATATTTTTATTCCATAATTCAGAAAAATTACGAAATATGTGCTAACTAAAAATTCTAAATGCAAAATAAGCAACGTTATCAATCGCAAACCTTCGGAAAAACCGTAAATCAGTACTGCTACATAGAAAGAAGATTCCAAACGAATCTCAAAAATAGTACGTACTATTTCTAATGTTTCTAAAGTTAAATAGTTAGTAACAGGAGAAACTCCGTGACGATGAAACCAATTACAAAGTCTTTAAATACATCTGTAGCAACAATAAAATAAAATAATAAACCAAGATTTACAATTTGAGAAGCTAAAACACGAAACGTTCACCAATTCTTCCTTAAGCATGTGGCTCAATACAGAACAATTTATAGAAGCCCTTATGGAAACTATTCAGCAGAAGATAAATGGAAATACATCGTGACCCTTGATTAAGCATAGGTTTACCTAGGTGACTGCAACAACACAACAACAAAAAAAAAAAAAAAAAAAAAAAAAAGGAGGGGAGGAAAAAAAAGTCTATTTATTATTCAAAAAGAAGAGAAATAAATGTATAAATGCATACACTTGATTTCGTCAGTGCAAAGGAAATTTCAGTAAGGGGTTTATGATTGTCACAGCATTCTTTTACAACAGGAAATTAAAAATAAGAAGAGTAGAAAAAAGTTTTAAAATCAACTCAATATTCTATCAAGAAAACGCTTTAAGTCCGATATTTACAGAAGAAATTCTATTGCTTTATCTGAATGACTCTCAGAGAGTGAAACTAAATAAAGACAAAACAGCAAGTCATACTTCAAAAAGTACTATTGGATTCCTTGAAAAATGAAGACTGATACAGGTATTGCATATATTCTTTTCAATATGTTCTTGCAAAATCCTCTAACGTTTTACCTTTCGACTATTCTGCCTTCGGTCTCTTCTAAAGAGCTCTTTCTAAACGCAAAACCACCATTACTGATGGCTCCTGGAAAGTAATGAAAGAGAAATGGAAATCAATACCCCTGAAAGTTTTATGAAAAGCCCTTCTATCACGAGAATAACTGTGCAGGCTTATATAGTCCTGAAAAAGGCCAAAAACGTTATCACATTTAGCGAGGGTTCCTGCTAGACGGGACTTTTCTGAGAAACGAGATTTTGGTAGCACTGGTTTAAACGGGAAGATTCCCAGAAAAAAGAGCCCCGCTGGAAGCGAAGACCCGCCTAGCTACCGAAACGATGTACCGGCTACGCAAGATTTTTTTACCCCTCGCCGAATATGTTTCGGCTGGAGTTCTGTCCCGCGTAGAGACCAACCAATCACTACGTGGGGTTTCCTGGAAATGCGCGGGTTCTGAGAATAGTCTTTTTCGACGTCCAATTCCGCGTAGCGGAAACATAATGTGATAAGGTTTTAACATATCAACCATTTTACAAAATAAACCTTACATTTTAAACATTAATTAAACAGCCCCTAAATCGTTCTAAAAATGTGTAAACACCTCTGAATGTTTGGTATAATTTTTAAAAAAGGATCCTAGGAAAGTAAGCCCATTAAGTTTCTAACTTCTTTGCTCTATTCCTGCGTCATACATTTCCCAGGAATATTCCTTCGCTCTTTTCTTGAAAAGCTAAACACAGTACATTTTTCAAAGACAAAATTGGCAATTTTCACTACACCAAATAATAATAAACTGAATTATTGTTTTTTCCTTGAAACAAAATTCTCTCGACGATGTATCGATAGGTTGTTGTATCGTCGGTTTCTCCAGCTGATGATGAACAATACTTTTTATATAACCAAATTTATGGAATTTTTTTATGTAACAGAACATAAGTTAAATATTTAAACATTTATTTTAGCTGAACTACTTAAAACATTTTTGCAACTAATGCTGTTTTACACAATAAATGTCATAAACAAAAATAGATGCCCAACTAATTGAAAGTCGTTATTTGCCAAACTCTACTTCTTTGTGAAAAGTTAAGTAAAATTCGATTATTTTAAGAAACATTTTGCAGATTTCGAGATACAATATAATATAGGTCTGTCAGTTTTAAGGAATAGAACTCCTTAAGAAATGCACAGCACCAGAGATTATTGAGAAAAACGTACCAAACATTTTGGGCGTAGAAATGTTTACAAGAAAGACTTCTCCTTCACAAAGGAGAGAAACTCACATATGATCACTTCTCGAAACGTATAATGCCTTTTGTTTGAGTTCTTAATGGATGAAAAATCTAAGGATTAAATTTTTCTAAAATTTGAATTGGTGTGGATTTTTTACAAGTTGTTAACAAAATGGCATCATTTGATTTACAACTTTATAATGATAGCTATTGAATTAATTAAGCCACAAAACCGAGAATCTGTTGTGTTCATCAATTTAAGTTAATGAATAATTGAAAAATATTGTTTTTTTTTTTTTTTTTAAAAAAAAAAAGCAGAAAAATCATTTTAAGTTTCTTGACAAAAATGATAACTCATAAATGAGCAATTAAAATGTCTTTATTTCATTAGACCATGTTGCTAAAAGCGAATTTTTTTTGCATTGGCTTCAATAGCCACGTCGATAATATTATTCCCTAGAAAATAGTCTGTGGAAACTATATTCGCACATTTCCACCAACGTTCCCTGAACCATTTTGTGACATGAGAATTCACCTCTTGTGCCAGGTTCCTGAGCCCACCATATTTGTCTATTAAAACACCAGCAGTTGTTGGAGTCAGTTCTGCCATGGCTGACCACAGTCCCCGATGGCGAAAATGGCACATATTTCTTTCTAAAAATTCTTCCAGTTCTGGTCGCGTTTCTTTGTTGCCCCATAAATGAAATGCACCTGGAAAAAGTAGAGTACTTTCGATGGCTTGCTTGGAAGCATATCCAACAAGCAACCTTTTGTTGCTTTTCCATATTTCGTTGAGCGTTGTAGAATATTCAAAAGATGTAGGCATCATATAGTGACCCAAAGTTCTCACGATTAGACTCATGAGTTCTTTGTGTCTATCATCTACCCAACTGTCGATGAATCCCATATAAAAGAGATGAAAGTCCATGATCACGATTTCGTTCGTATTATCGAGAAAACGTTTCACTTGAGCTAAAACATCTTTAACAGTATTGTTCGTTCTCAAAATATTATGAGTGATCCAGAACTTTTCTTTGCTTCCGGCAACATGCTGAAAAATGACACGAAGATCTAAGAATCTGTTTCCATAGACCAACTGGTTGAATATATCCTCATCGTGGCATATTTGGTACCTCACTTTGGCTGTATTTCTGTCTGGCCTGTAAGGCTCATAACTTCCAGCGTTGTGAGTTCCAGGCAGCATAAGTTCTTTAAGAGTCCGGTTGCCGATGATGTGTCTCATTTCTTGCATCCATCGTGGTCGTGCTCTTATGCAAGATTTTGCCACCAGACGGTTAAGATTGATGTACCCTATAGTTAAAAAGGGTGAAAAGTAGTATTAAAACACAAATTTTCAAAATAATATAAATTTTTAATTTTGAAAACTTATATTATCATAATATGTTAACATTTATTTCAAGTTACTAGCCAGTTTAAATTAAATTGAACCCTGTTCTCTGTCTTCTAATTTCAAAATAAGCAAGTATTTAATTCAAGTGTAGACTAAAAATGTAGATGAGTGGCAAGTATTTTATTGTATGTTATTATGCATATTTAGTTGGAAAATTAGGTAATGGAATTCGTTGACTATGTTTTCTGACTTTCGTGGATCTAGAATATTTGTGTCGTGCATCTTCAGCAACTAAAGAAACATGAGCTATTTTGTTATTGTATTTGCAGGCAGTTTTTCTCTTATGTTTAATTTGCCAACTGTGGCAAGTAATTTTTTAGTAAATTCTACTTTTTTATCTATTAATGCTTTGTTTCGCAAATAGTAATGCCGATTTGACGAGCAGTACATAACCAAGTAAGTAACTGACTAGCTGTAGCTAATCAAGTTAAACGAGAAGCTGATACAGTTAATAAGTTAGAAAATGTTTTAAAAAAAAAGAAGTTTTCTTATGTCAAGTAAACAAGAATCTTTTTATTATTAATTTACTCTAATAGTTTTATTTTCTAACAAGATTAATGCTTCAGTAAGAGGAATAAATTACTTTATCTAAAAAGGAACAAGTTTAGTGAAAAGAGAATTTTGTCATTTAAATTGTAAATAATGTTTATTAGACGTAAAAGTATCGTCTAAAACTGCCACTAAAGCAGTTCGAAGAAATATTTAAAAAAAAAAGAGAGATGAACAAAGGAAATTTTGAAAAAAAAAATAAAAATACTATGTGTAGTGCAATGTAATCATAAATATATAAATTATTGTTTTCTTTAACGAAAACTGTTTACATACATATCTTACATTAGATTTATATGCAAAGTATGGGGCAAAACTATTCTAACTTCGTGATATATCTTAAGTTCGATCAAGATATGAGACCTGTTTTTCATCACAGAATAAAGAATGGCGGCATTGTACATTAAATTGCATGATTTCTGAAGAGATACCAAGACTAAGAAAAGCCATTTGTATCTACAACAATTAGTGTTGATGTCGCTTATCGTTTTTAAATTAAGTGTTAGCGATGCATGAATTATGAAGTAGATGATTACATTTTTTCGAAACTATTTCTGAAAATTCAAGTTGTATTCTTATTTCGGGAAATATGCAAAAGCAAGACAAACTTCGAAAAGTTATGTGTAGATGGTATATCCAGAAAAGATGTCGGATTCGTTTACTTAACAGAATAAAAGGATTTTGATTCGAATAAATTATTTTATTTGCAAAGACAAGATCTTAAAAGTATTAAACCAAAATTTATGATTATTGTGTAAACTGAAAGCCTTGCTTGCGAATTTAATTCAAAGCAACATCAGCAAGAGCGATTTTGGAGCATATTAAGAAAATATTAATGCTAAATATTGCATAAAACTTATTTATTTATCTAAGTAACTGCTGCGGTTTTTCATATATCCCTCGCAAGAAATGTTTTTGATACAATGAAAACATGTAAAACTGCCTGAAAATTACAATGTCCTGAACCTTGCGTCTTGTCAGCAATCCGAAGGAAAAATTAGAATATCGGTACTTAAGTATTAACGCAACCTGGCCAAAATTCGCATAAATTGCCAAATTTGGCGACCCTTCTTACGGCAACCCTACGTGTTATACGTGTTATACGAAAGTTTATTTGTAAAAAGAAAAAATAACACTGGGCGTGTACTACCACAGCAATGGGTTTTCGGTGGAATTTGCCGAGAAAAGAAAGAGACTTTTTTGGTTACTGTACCTAACAGAAGCGCCGTTACCCTCATGGAAAAAATTTGCGAAAAATATCAAGGAAGGAAGCATCATTTATTCGGATTGCTGGAAAGGATACAATACAAGTGAGTTCGAAAATGCTGGATTTCTGCATGGAACTGTTAATCACAAGTATAACTTGTGATTAACATTGTGGATCCCAACACGGGCGTTCACACAACATGTAGAGCGCATGTGGGGCTCAGCCAAATGGCGCAACAAAAAACAGAGAGGAACAGCCCGTCATCATCTTGACTCATACCTTATCGAATTTATATGGCGCCAAGCTCAAGCTGTTAATGGCGAAGACGGTTTTCAATCAGTGCTAAAAGCAATAGCCAAAAGATTTCCGCCGAAAAAATAATTCTGCAACTTATTCAAATTCGAAACCGAAAGGGTTTAATTGCTATTTTATGTTTTAAAACAAAATAATATAAAAAGCTGTATTAAAAATTATCTGTAATTAATAAATGTACATTTTCTTTCTGTTCATACTTTTTTACTCAAACTTACAAATCGCGCCAACCTGGTTGCGATAATACGTAAGTACCAGAATATCTTACAAATGATATCAGTATTCTTGAAGAGTTCTAACTTTCTCAAATCTAAAGCTAACTTATTCATCGATGAATTTAAACTAGACAATTATGGTAACCTTTGGCCATTCCATGAATTCTTCTGACTAGAAATTAAATCGTTTTTAAATTTATCACTAATTCGGTTGTTGATTATTATTTTGTTAATTCGTCCTCCTAAACAAAGGCCGAATTAACAAAATAATAATCAACAACCAATGAAAACTAACTTCCAACTAAATCAATCAATCAATCACCATTCATTCAAAGTAAAATGCTGCAGAATTACAAGCTAAGTACGCAAAATCTACTGAAATTGCCCAGTAGTAAAAGTAGAATTCAACTTAAGTCGCGAAAGCCAAAAAGGGGCTTGGGTGCACAATAGGCATCTCCTTTCTAATTTAACTTCACTCTAAAATTCAATTCATTTGACGCTCCTTGCATGAACATTCTTAAATATTCGCATAGTTTGCATTTTCGGAAAGGTGTAAGTTAAAATAAAAATTCAAACAGAAGTGAAAAAAGGAAAATGTAATCTAACCAATTAGTTAAACCAAAGCCTTACAGCAGGGATTCTCAACCGGTGGTACGCGTACCACTGGTGGTAGGCAAGAGAAAAATAGCTGGTACGCCAAGAAGCAAAATATTTTTAACTATTAAATTCAAAAATTAAAACCCCAACGTTCTGATTGAGTTTTTTTCTCTAATATTCGTAAATTTACGCGATCTGAGCTTCGTTTAAGAGTGATGGTGGTAGTAGCACTTTGTAGTGGTGGTGCTGAAGGTTTTTCATTTTTTTTTTTTTTTTAGATGGTACGCGTTAGTCAAAAGGTTGAGAATCGCTGCCTTACAGTTTAGTGCAAAGTCTCAAAGTAGGCGATGCAAAGTTACTAGTCTAAATGTACTTTCAAATTCTTAAAGTACTTTCAACCCTCGACGTAATTTTATGCGGCAACGTAGACATTTGAGTCATATATTTATTGAAAATGCGGAAAGATTGCAAAGATTTCCAGATTTTAGTTATTGGAAGTCCGAGTTCATATTATTTTTCCTTTTGTTAAAAACAAACATGAATAACTCGATAGAAATCTCTAAATGGAGCTAATTAATTTGCTATATGATATAAATCTTATTCAAAATTTTAAGTTACAAATTTTATTAACTTTTATTCATATTTACCTTAGATAAGTATGAATAAAAGTTAATAAAATTTCATACCCTCAGTTACGAATAATAATCTTGATAACGAATAATCAGATAAATACCCTCAGTTACGAATTTTTACATTGAGAATAATCGCTTTGTTTGGGAATTAGATTTATATGTGATTATCTTTTTTTTTTTTTTTTTTTTTTTTTTTTTTTCATAGTTAAAAATTAATAAGAACTCTATTGATCTATTAGTACCAACAATCCATGATGAAAATAACTCCTATCCAAGGCTACAAACTTTATCAGAAAAGAAATGCCATCAAGTATCAAGCTACAGTAAAAGATAAAGGTGTTTTTCATTATTTACTTTACACACAAGCATGCGTATTTTTATTTCTGCTTGGAAGAAAAAAATAATAAATAACAGATAGAGACTAGGTTGTGATTATTTATTCTCATGTTTTGTGCCACATGGTACATTTTCTCTGAAAACTCAGAAAGTTTTCCTGATTAGATTATTTTTAGTTTAAATTAAAGTGAGTTATTTAATAATTAATTAAACATATTAAAACTATTTGAAAGTACTATGAATCCAAGAATTTAATATTTAGCTGAATATATTTGAATTACAAAGTGTCAACAACAAAAATGCCTTACATATATCATACTTTAGATTTCAGATTGAAAATAAATATAAATTTTAATGTGGTTGGTTCCTTTACGATATTATTATTTTATTTATGTAAATTTTAATGGATTGATTTAAAGTATTTTTTATTTTGAATAAATTAAAAATAGTTTTCATAAATTTTTCATATTGAAAAAAAAAAAAAAAAAAAAAAAAAAAAAAGAAAAAAATAAGTGCGGCTTATTTTTATATCGTGCATTCGGCCCACATTCAATTTCAAATTGAGACCATTGGTCTAGTGCAGTATTCTTCTCAGTGCAAATTTCAGATCTTTTGCTACCGCTTACACATCCTACCTTCTGGTAAATTAAAATTTATCTCTAGCACCTTTTATCACTTTATGCGCTTTATTATGAAATTTACAATAACAATTTCCAGACCATATGCTATATGTAAAAGAATGTAGAATTTTAACTAAATGAATTCTCAATTTCAAAGCAGAAACATTCTTTAAATCTTACCGATCCAATAGCCAAGGCATTCATCAGTGATATTGTCAAAGAATTCGATCCTAGGAAAAGGAACCCTTGTCTTGTAATAACCATCCGGATGTGTCTTTGTTGGGGCAACTTCCAGAGGATCGTTGCTTCCTTCTGTAGGATCGTGGTTAAATAATCCGACCCAAGAAGTGGGATCTTCATTCATTCCATGAGGTGCATCGAACCAATTGAGTTCTAGAAGTCGTTCTGTTATAACGCCCTCTGGAGTATGTGATGCTAACGAAGATACGCTCAACAAGACTCGAGGTCTAGATATTTTGTCATCTGCATCTAAAAAAAAAAAGACTGATTATTACAACTATGTTACAGGCGTTGAATTACGAAACTTAACTATAGATCATTTTGATTTCTCTATGAATGGGAAACAATGAAATAAGCATATGATAAGTCGTAATATTGGTATCATAAACTTAAAATTTCAAATTAAAAAGCAAGTAAGTTACGAAACCCAAAATAATGAATGAGTAAAGAGAATTGAATTTTTCTCTTAGATACCTTCTATCCAGCTTCATATGAAAGGGCTACTTTTATTCTTCCTAAAGTAATGAAATGCTCAAGCAATATGGCATTTAAACAGAACATAACGGAAATTTTATGTAAGATGGCGAAAGAAAGTTATTTTACAGAATTTCGCCATTCGAATATTTTTTTTGCCTTAAAAAATATATTTTATAAAGCGTTTATTTTTGAAGGCCATGGCAATTTAGGCTTACTAATAATCTCTATTATCCATTGCGTAAAAAGAAGCTATTATTGTAAATTTACTGTATCATAAAATTTATTACTGTCCACCTGACAGGATTATCCGAATATTGGTTTTAAAAAGCTAAAAGTTTAGAGATATCTGCTTCGCTCTGTCAGTTTGGCTGGCAACAGAATAATCATTTACGCTTTACTAGATTCTAACATTCTAAATGCATTTACCTGAAAATTACATCACATTTTCATATGTTTCCCACACATAAATATTTTTTTTGTGCAGTTGGATATGTGAGTACTTCTATCATCAAAATGAAGCAATTCTACCTTTGTAATTTCTCCAACAACTGTTGTCTTGGCAGCAATAATTGTAGAAAAATCGAAAAACAGATTATCTCTAACTTCCGGAGTCTTTGGATGTGATACAACATAATAAATCGACCAAGAAATATATTTTTGCCACCCTTCCCTTTACCTGTTTAATGGTTTTGATTGGCAATGCCGTAATCAAAAAGGTATTCTCAGTGTACATTATATTATCACAAAAACAAGGAATAGAAAGCACTTGAATTTCCGTGATACAGTGGCAATCTAAGTAGATATACACTTTCAAACAAGAGCTATACGGAATTCTTTGTACTATCATATACTATAACGAAATAACTTCTAACAAGTTTTATGTTACAAATTTTTTTCGTTTCGTTGGAGATGAACTTGAAAATTGATTGATATTAATGTGAGGATGAAAAAACACATTTTTCGTCTATTCCTTCATAATTTTAAATTATTAAATTTGCTCTGGACAGCAGCTGGATGATGTTAGGCGCTAACTAAATAGGCGGAATGGTATTGGCCTCATCTAGTATGGAAGAAAGAAACAAAAGAGGTTGATACGCTCCAATTAAATAATTAAAATGTACTCTAACAGTGTAATGTGCAGTGTGATTTTACTAATATTTTCCCAAATGAAACCTGACATGTATAATTTTGTTTACAGTAAGATAGCTTTTGAAAAGTAGATGAGGTCAGGAATAAATTATCAATGAAACAATTATATATTTAATGAGACAATCGCTTGTAATAAATTCAGATTCGGAATTACTTTGAGACAACCTGTGAAACCAGAAAGCGAACATTAGCAATTCTATGCTCAAAAAAAGATGATGACATTTTATCAGACGGCTTTCTTAAACCGACTGCAAGTTTGCCGCATAATTGAAACATATTTTAAGCAGAAGGATATTTTGAGCGTGCTTTGAATTTTTTATACCAAGATTGAGACAAGATTTATACCAAGATTGATTATTTAGCAAGATTTAGCCTTCTCGGTTGAACAGCAAAAGAAGAATCTACAAATGGTGCTGTATAGACATTATATAACATTTCAAACGGACCCACTCTACCAAATCGACAACCTATCATTAAGAATGAAATAGTTTGTATTACAAAGTGATTTTTTTCTCTTCTACTCATTTCTTGTTTGACTTTTGACATTTTTCAAAGTTTTCTATTGCCTTTTTTATATTTGCCCTTTTTAACTTTTAAACATAATTTAAATATTTATTAGATTTCTCTGGAGACTTATTTGCTATTTTTAAAATCATTCATAAGTTTTTTCTTTTTTTAGTTCTTAATTGTTGGCATAAGAAACTGGTGTTTTTTACGTAAATATCCATTAGCTCTACGATTTAAAATAAAAAATACGATATCCCTATAAAAATGAAATAAAATAAACAAATAGAGTAAAGTAATATTTTAATCACAACGTCTTCATATGAACATTAAAAAAATAACACATTTGTACATTCACAAACATTATTGTCAATTCAATTAAGCACTACCTGCTCATCAAAACTATTCCTTAACAACTACGAGATCACAAGAAAAAAGTGGCATTGCAGACGACACTGCGCTAAAACTGCCATTGCTAACCAGAAAGAAGCACTGTGGATTTTAGTGATCGGAAAGTGAGCGCAGCTCTTGCCTCCAAATCTCAACTGAGTACTGGATACTATGAATCAAAACAAAGTAAACCTGTGAAATAGTTATACTTCGAAGTGCTTGCCTCTTCAAAGGAAGCAAAAAATATTTCTGCATCATTCAATATAAAACATGATTCTCATGAAAAAAGCAATGAAATTTTTACACATGTGGATTGGTTTTTACTTCCTTGTACGAAGTAAAAAGGAAGTATTGTAATCGCGAAAGGTTTCAGACAGCATATTTCAACCAAAATATCCATTTTGACCTCTATCGAATGCAATTTAACGATGTTTTTGCGTGATATCTGTACGTAAGGAAAGAATAAAATACTCAAATACTCTTTTCCTCCCCCCCAAAAAAATTATAAATCTGCTTTAAAATTAATTCTGAAGAGAATTTTTCGGGGCGTCTGTACGAAGGTATGTACGTACGTACATATCTCGCATAACTCAAAAACAAGTAGCCTGAGAACGTTGAAATTTTGTATATAGGACTGCTATAACATGTAGATGTGCACCTCGTATTTTGGTTGCAATCGGCCGCACCAAAAGTATATAAATATATTTATATATATATATCCCACTCTGTAACCCGGCTTCCAGTGATCTCAGTTTCTTTTACTCTTATTATGTTTGGTAAATTGTACGCATTTTTTGCTTAAAAAATGACTGGAATTATGTTGTTCTTATCTTCCGGTTAAGGTTATTATGCCTTTAGTAAATCTGTATGCAATATTTTTAGAATTATCAACAATTTTAAAGTTGTCTAAGTGCCGCTAAGCCTTCTTTTTATGGCGGCCATTAATTGTTTACATTTGAAACAGCAGACTATTGGATTTGTTGCCAATCTAGAGAAACTTAGCTTCGCAACAACAAAGATAACGCCTTCATTTATTATTGCCAATTAAATCATGCTTAATCCTTTCTGGAATTTTTTCGAGGAAATAAGTGTTTAAGATACTTCGTAATTTTTAATATAGATATTTTGAGTTTTTATGTATTTTTGCCTTCTCGCGAAGTGAGAACTGAATTAATTGAATGAGAAATACTCAATCGTCTGTGAAAACCTGTTTCTTTTTTGTTTTTGTTTGCTTAATTTCTTTTATACATCGTTCTAGCTTTATTGTAGTATTTGAATAGAACATGTGGCAACGATTAAATAATTATTTAAATGATATCAATTTTGTGTATTCTGAGTTATAATATGAACGAAATATAATACTGTTAAGTGAACCTAGCGCCAGAGTGTCGCTATGGTAAACAAATAGAGTGAATTTTAAAGAATGCATTTATTCTATTGTGGTTTATGCGCTGTCGGCGAAGTAGATTTAATTCAATCCAATAAGTTTAAATGAAATGCAAGAAAAAAGACGTATAATTTAATATTCCGTACAAGGAAGTCATGTGGTGTACACATCAGATTTTTTAAAAATAGTGTTCAAATGAAATTCGAAAGTGACTAAATCCCATCTATCCAGAAGTTCTGATTACAACACGTTGCAAATTTGTCGAATAGCAACAAAGCGTCTTCCATAAGTGTTTTCATATGCTTATTTCACTTAAATAAGGTCTATTAATTGCATCAGTCACCGATGAAAGTAGTAGTCTATCTTTTGCAATATTTATTTAATGCTATCCATTTATGTTTTCAGTTATTCAGTAAGACAACTTGAAAATTAAAAGATAATGAAGTAACGACAATGTTTTTACGAGAAACAGAAGTATAATGTAATAAACCCTTTCACACTTGCACAAGGATGTTTAGACACCGCTTTCTACCAACTTGTGCTTACTAACACGGTAACGAAATTTGGATCTCTACCAATCGAGCAAAAGATAAAGCTTATCGAAATTGGTAATAACGATGCTTCACTGCAATTCAGCCCTTAAAACACAGTAACCCATTTGGAGCCAATGTTTGTTTTGAAGCAATGATTGTAAGAAATGACAGGTTATTACAGGACTAACGGAAAAAATATTTTATACGTGACAAATCGTAAGTATGTTTTCCTCTCTTGATCGTGGGAAATGAAGTTAGCTCCATTCTAAAAATCGATAATTAAAAGCTCCTCTTTCGCGTTATCGTGGATGCTTAACATGGAGCAGATACTGAATATCTCGAATTTTTGCAAGTTAGAGGTCTACAAAATGATCAAAATTGTTTACTGAGATATACCGTGATCAAGTATTCCAATAGCACATTCGACCTCCTAATGGAAGGAAAGCCGTTGTTGTGACGTATGGGATGATTGTCCAGGAAAATGAGAATAAAATTGATTTGCCTTCTATTACGAAGTTTAAGAAGTTTCCTGAAGAGGATTATTCGGTCAACCACACGTATGAGAAATGGTAGCTGATTTCTTATGGATTATAGTAGCACACCTAGCATTTTCACGAAATTCTTAAACAAATATGAGGTTCACAGGATCAGCTTTCCATCTTGCTTTACCGAGTTGGCTCCCGCCCACTTACTTCTATTCTCCAAACTGAAACTGACACTGAAAGACGTTTCATAAACATTGAGGATATTAAAGACAAACTAAATAGTATTCGGATATACGATTTAAGGAAACGTTTTAAATATTTCGCGTAGAAATCAAAATCATGCATCAAGAAGAAGGAAGATTATTTTGAATAATTATGATCATAGTTTGTTTCAGTACCTTTAAATTTTCTAGTACCAGAAGCAGTTTAAAAATTAATAGTTTAAAAATTTGATTGCCAAATCCTGTACACAAAGAATTGACTGTATTAGTAGAATTGCCAAATTATTTCATCAGCAGTCGTTCATCATTATGTTTCTCATGTATCGAATTCTAACTTATACTCAATTAAACAAGCAATAAAAAGTATATTAGTTCCTAACACGGATTTATTACATTCTCTAATAATTAGCACAAAATTTCAAGTCACATTTACTAAACCACACACAAAGTCACAAAGTCATATTTACTAAAATTTTAAGAAATACGACATGCTCATTCATGATCCCAAAATTTGCAATCCCCCAAAAGTGCAAGGAGGTGATCCAGAAGATATCATTAAAAATCGAAAGATAAAATTGGATTATGTTTTAGTTCTTAAGATAACAGATGGTTTTTAGAATGCTTTTAGTAATAATGGCGTGGTATGCTATTATAAAAGCTAGCTATATAATAGCAGATAGCTTTTATAATGGCTAAATATGTCATTATAAAAGCTAGTATGTACGTATATAAGCATTGATAATTCCATGTAATGTATCATTTTATGGACAATATTCATAATTACATTTTATGCATAAATGCTTACTCGTTTGTCTACCTTAAGTGAAAGTATAAGGAAAATAGAGTAAAATGAAACTTTTTTTGTTCGATAGGTCGGGGGCAGGATGTGGGAGCTACAGCAAATACAATAGCCACATAATTAATTAGTTGCGGTGCTCACACGTGTGAGTGGAACGGGAGATGTATGTTACCACTATTCTGTTATCACTCACTTTTTTTTTTTCGTTTTACATTACCACGATGCACACCGTCATGGTAATGTAAAACATTTGAGATATTGCTCCGTGCAACTAAGGCGAAAGTTCATGCTAACCTTTCTAAAATGTCTTATTGGGAGGTGCTTCTTATTGTTAGAATAACGAAAGAAATATTGCATTTCCTTAAACGAAATATCTCAACACATCTGTCATTCAGTCTAGAACCTTTGCGGTGTAGCATTTTCGCCTTCGATCTGTTGAAAAATATCTGAAAGAATAATAACGGAAGAGATGAGAAGAGAGCTGTAGAAGACTTTTGCATATATGAAACAGCATCGCAGATACCTTTAGCAAAAGTGAAAAATATCTTTAATCTGGTTCGTCAGTGGGACAACAGATTTAACGCAATGGAATCGGCAATTTCTTCAAAACATAGTGTAGGTATCAAAATTATATGGACTAATAGGACGAAACGAAACTTTTTATTTACACCATATATAGGGTGATTCAGAATTCATCATCAATATTTGGTGGGCAGGTAGGGAATAGGAAAAGGAGGAGATTTCACATAGGAAAGTATGGGCGCAGACGAACGCATGGTGGTGTAAAGCGCGCTGTATGTACACAACTTCCGTACATAAGCACAGCTGTTTGACGTGTGCAGCCAGTCGTCATTCGACTAGGCAGAAGTAACATGAACGGGTATACGTGGAATGAACTTGCAAATATGCATGTAAATATTCCAGAAGGTCCAGTTGTCCATGCAACGCCGTTGTGAGTCATGCATTCTAGCACATGGTCAGCAGTTCGAGCACCTTTTGTAAGTCTGTAAAACCGATGCAAAGAAATGTTACATGTAAGATAATAAATGATTTTTTTCTTATTACTTCCTTTTCATGTGTTCTTTCCATCATTGAACTGGGGTCATTTTGCCGTAGCATATGCGCCCATGCATTCCTATGCGAAATCTCCTTCTTTTCCTATTCCCTACCTCCCCACCAAATATTGATGATGAATTCTGAAACACCCTGTATGAGAGCCCCTTGATACAATGTATTTAATTACCTATTCTCTGTGAAGTAACCCAACATCTTGCTGCAGTAAAAGTGAGGTGTATGACCACAGTCCATGTGATCACTGGGAACGTCAACTTGTGGAGCTGCAGCATCCCTCCGCGTCCTTATCTGATGAAATAGAAGAAAATAAAGTATTAATATTTTAGAGAATCATGAAAACCTCTAAAAATATATTAATATTTTTAAACTTTCATTAATTGTGTTTATATTAAAGTAACGATATTCTCCAGAAACTCAAATTTTCTATTTACAGGATTTCAAACAGACTTTTAAATGAATTATGAGATTTCAAACAAGTTCATAATTTGTTTGCTACAGATTTATTCTATCAAATGACTGGCAGTTGCACTAAAACATTCTGTGAAAATTTAGATCATAATTTAAATTTTCTGCCATTAGAAGAAAAGACTCAAATATAATCTTTTCCATGATAAACCTGTTGTGTCATAGTAGAATAATTCATTTTTTAAATAAGCTTTACCTAAAAATTAATTCATGTTATAGCTAAGCATTAACCACTCTTCATGGTATTTAAATATGTGTTTAGAGCAATGGATCTAAACAGGCTTTCAGACTATAAAAATTTTAATCATGTGATATTTCTTAGAAAAAATATATATAGTATAAGTTCTTGTGTTAGTTCCAAGTGAAAAAAACTTTCCAATATTTTGCACAGCTGAATTATTGAAATAAGCCCAAATGGAGGGAGGGGGATTTCTTTATGCTACTGAAATTACAAGAATCATCCTAAAATAAAGTTCTCTTATAGAGAATTTTGAAAGGATTTTTTAAAAAGTCTTTTATTCCAGAAACATTTTATACAAGTGTGGGTTATCAGTTCCTATTTGTAAGAATATCATATAAAATTTTTTTGAATTGAATACATTTTAGCCAACTAATCATTGTGCTTCATTCTCCTTTTAAACACAAGCGGTTTAAATCTTGTAGTCTTAGCAATTTTTTTGCTACCGTAGATTTGCTTGTTTCCGGAATAGAGCACAAATGATTTAATTCATTCTGAAGTCTTTCTTTTGACTTCTTGGGTATCATGACGAAGGAATGAAATTCAGCAACCTGCATATCGGTATGGGGGATGAGTAGGCTAACATAGCATATAATTTTGTAGAAATAGATGAAGAATACTTACTTCTACTAAGTGAATGCTTCTAAATGAAAAAAGTGAAATATTTTTAGATTATTAATAATTCTGTTTATGGAAACTTCCTTTTACTAGGGTTTCATGTAAGCTCAGCTGTTGTTTGCGTTTTGTTTATCCCATCACAGAAGAGTTTAATTTAAGGTGAACTAGAATGAAAGCCAGTATTGTATAACATGCAACATTACAGGACAGGTACATTCACAAATAAGGTTATACTCAATTTATATTTTCATACAACTAACGTTACCATTCGCGGGGGGGGGAGGAAACCAAACGCAACTCCTATTAAAGAAAAAAGCTATAGAAGCAGAAATTTAGTGTTTCAAATTCCATACTTTCATTAACAATATTTGTTTGGTAGCTGTACTAATTTTCATGTGCGTATCGCAATAAAATTCTTGATCAGTCAGATCGTATAGTGGTTAACTGGTAAATCCTTTCTTTATTAGACGACAATGATTAATTTCACTGACCTGTTCTAGTTATCTTATTTCCTACTGACCAACAGAGTGTTGAATGGAGTGGCCAGATCTACTTATCTGAAGATTTTGAATGTACCTATGAAGAAAGGCGTTTCCTCTCTATTGCCCTTCAAGACATCTAAAGCCTCTGAACTACAACAAGAACTAAGGTTTATACTGTCTTTATTCCGCAGTAAGTTATCTGACAACAGAATTGACAATGATTACGGGACATATTCAAATCTATTTCTGCAGGTTACTCTTACCAAAAATAGCAGTCATTTTTCAAAATCATACAACTTTCCAGAACACATCATTGTTTTGCATCATTGCATAATGTGATAGAAAATAAAATATGTTACTATAGTATTTTAACAGCTGGGCAAATTTCGTGTTTTTGCTTATAAGGTATATCCCCGCCTTCTTAGCATACCTTCGAAGTGTAGTGGTAACGATGTAGTGGTGAGCACGCTGGGCGCGTATTCCAGAGGTCCGTGTTCGATTCCCGGCAAAGGCGTTGCTAATTTTTCACATCTCCTGCTTCGAAATAACTTAATGTCTCTACACGCTATTTTTCTTAAAAACTTGAATAAAAATGTGTTCAATTTGTGGGCTTTTGAGAACAATATATATATATATTTACTAAATAATATTGAATTTATTATATATAACCCAAAATCTATCAGTATTGTAGCAAAATAACTCATTAACAACGTGTTGCTGCAATTGATATAACTAAAACAATAACGACGAAACATAAGAATTTAATCCTTAAATGCCAGTAAGTTTCCATTTGGCAACATACTCATATTTAGTCATATACATCAAATCAAAACACAAATTTTAGCTTACTGCATAGTTCACCAATTGGATGCATACTGTTTACGTATATAGCTTTGAAAGTTTCAGTGTAGTGGCACCACTAACGGTGTAACGGTCATTATTGTGAGTTGATGTGTAAGGTGTGGACATCACATCGTAGGGTGTGTTTACAAAATTTTGATTTTGTGCTTGTTGTTATTTTGATGTATTCAAAGTTTTAAAATTGTTTGAACAAGTTTATAAGGTATGTATTATTATATAAAATTGTTATTACACATTGCCTATCATATTTTTTTTCCTAAATGTTAATTTGTAAAAGTGAATAATATTTTTTCAAAAATTGGAATAAAAACTTAGTTTAGATTTTTTAGTATTCTTCCTATTTTATTTGATATCAGTTCTAATGTATTTTTGACTTTAAAAATAAAAATAAAAATTCATAATTGAAGGGTTAAATCGTTCACTACCTCATGAAGGGCAAGTAAAAAAGAAATTTTTAAACGGAAGCACAGTAAAATAAGAATTAATAGTAATTAATTCCTATATCAAATAAACAATAATAGTAATTATCTAAATAAAATAAATAATTCAAATAAACAAAGGGAAAACAAATTGGATTTTGCTTTTGTGGTCATCATCAGGAAACAGCCCAAAAGCATTCAAACTGAAATCTGCGTTTCGGATTACAGCCATGAATGAACTTTCACTAATATTCAAATTTTAAAATGAAAATTAAGTTAATACAATAAAAAAGTTACATGCAATTCATTTCCAGATTTTACTTAAAATGTTTTTAAGCTTTCCATTGCCTAACAGTTTCATATCTGAAAAATGAGTATAAAATTATGCTCTCTGAGAAAATTGATTGTTATCCTGCACAGAAACTGTAGTTTTATTATAATGAAAAGCCAAATTAAGATTTTAAATGTGGTAAGAGGGTGAGTTGCAACTTCTGGAAAGGACTAGATGGAATACATAAATTTTGAAATTAACTAATTCTGAACAGAAAAGTAGAAGTAAAGGGGAGAAAAAGGAAAAGAATTACTTAGGGTAAAAGAAAAAAAAAATAACTATAATTCACTGACGTAGGTCTTTAAAAGAAAATGGTGTATATGTTAATAGTATAAAAATAAAAAAAAAGAGTAATAATATATACATAAACAAAATAGCTGGGAAAACTCTGATTTCGTTATTAAGAACATCCTATGACTGTCAATTTTATATAAAATCAAAAATTGCTTATTACAAAACACGGGCACTAGCTGCATGGATTACCTTTCGCCAAAGCTCAGACAGATATTTATCCCATTTTTGCAGACATAAGCCTGTTTAGAAGTGTGTCTTCTCTTGGATTCACCCTGACTTATTGAAACGCCTGCTATTCAACTGGAAAATTTGGCAATTTGGCCCACTCAGTTATACACTGACTACCAATAAGTATTTGGACACCTGTGATAGAAATATATACAATTTCCTTCACTGATTTTGCACGGGTAGTGCACCCCTGAATTCGGCGCTGCAACTCGTCCTAGAGGTTCTCGATAGTGTTCAGGTCTGGACTCTGGACAGGCCAGTCCATTCGATGAACTCCATTGGCAACATACCAAGCCTTAATTAACGCCGAAACATGACAACTGGCATTGTCGTCCTCGCATTGTCGTAAAGTAACAGGGGTCCAACCCGTAAAACTGCCGCAACGTAGGAAGCACATTGTCATCCAAAATAGTGCAGTAGGTATCGGAGTTGAGCTTACTATGACTGGGGACCAAGGGTCCCAGCCCATACCAGGAGAACATCCCCAGACCATAATTCCACCTCCGCCGAACTTGACTGTTGGCACAAAGCATTCTGGCAGGAGACGTTCTCCAGGTAGACGCCAGACTCTGCCATCCGAACGGTAAAGGGTGAACCTTGATTCGTCACTCCAAAGAACCTGTTTCCACTGATCTACGGTCCAATTTCGATGTGCTTTACACCACATTAACCGAGCAGCGCGGTTGGACTTTGTGATCAAAGGCTTATGGGCAGCAGATGTGTGCTTCCTTACGGATGGTATTCATTGAAACAATACTCCCGCATGCCGGTTGAAAGTCCTCGCGGATGAAGGCCATCGGTTGGGTGCGGTTCTTCCGAATTTCTCTGGACAGCACTCGTCGGTCTCTATCTCCCAGTTTCGTTGGTCTGCAGACTCGGGGCACATTCCGAGAATCACCGCTCACCTTCCACTTCTTAATCACATAGGCCACTGTCGATTTTGGGTACTTCAGATCGCTAGATATGTCCCTTAAGGATCGGCCACATTTTTGATACCCAATAATTATACCTTTCTCGAAATCAGAGAGCTCCAAACTGAGAGGCATCTTGCATGCGACTAAACCCGATGCAGTTTTCTACACGATATATACCGGCGGAGTCCGTGACATACGTTAGGACCGCAGATATCGTCATTTTCATAAGTGTCCAAATACTTATTGGTAGTCAGTGTATATGTTAGTAGAAAAAAAAAAACTGGACTATGAAACGAAGAAGGCAAAATGTTTCAACCCCAGTAACCTTTGGCAGATCGCTCGGGTCAGTTTCGGTTTTGCACTCTATGGAAGTTATGGGACAATATCGTGCCCCAGGTTTCGACGAGTTTGTTAATGAGATGCTGTATATTCTTATTG